CCTTGCGCAGGGGTCATGCGACAATCAGACTTGCCACATTCTTCAACTGATCTTGCACAGCTGCTGTCTACGCTCTCTACAAACACAGCTACCTTTAGCGATCACTCTTTCGCATTCTGTGGATGTCTGCTTTCGCTGTTATACCTCCAACTTCCCGGCCCAACAGCGAGCCAAGGCGTCACTGACATGAAGGAGCCGCTTATCGATTCAGGAAAGACAGATCCGACGTCTGAGGCGCCCCCGAGTCTGTGGCGGAAAACGATGTAAAACAGCTATGCGCATTGAATACGAGCGACAGGAGTTTTATTTGTACGCAGTTTTGGCTTTGTGGGACATGCTGAAAGTTCAGTGATGGTATGTATGTTGGGCGTGACCTATGATTGCCAGAGCATGAACTGGAACGTTTTCAGGCACGATCGTAGCTTCGGTGATGACCGGTGCTGGCGCTACTGGAATGATTTTGTGATTTCTGATGTCATCACCGTGTCAAGGGCTTCGTGGTTTAGGTTTGCTGTTATACCAGTCGCCAAAAGCGGTCATGACAGGGCAAGCAAGACGTATTTCTAAGACTGGACGTGATATGTGGAGTGGCCAGGCCCAGATGCGAGGCAATGTGCCAGCAGACCTTGAATGTTCCGGAAACCCACGGTGCCCAGTAGTCCTTGAGTTCCTTCATGGTCCCAGCAGAGACCAAATCCTAAGCCCAGAAGACAGTGTTGACCCCGTCACATGGACCGAAGGCAGGCCACCTCAAAGACGAGAGGGGCGTGAATCTGACGAGATACCCCGTGATTCCACCCAAGGCCGGTCCGGGTGGTTAGACCTGAAGTCTCAAATCTTATGTGGAGCCTCATGGCAATGTAGTATTACCGTTGTGTGTTAGTCTGCGGTGCATGGGAGTCTCACTCTCTGATAGTGGGCGATTGCGGAGGTCCGGGGTTGCTTGTACACGAAATTGGCGCCATCCGAATCATGGGACCGTGGTGATAAAACTGACAAGAAGCCAACAGATCATGTAGGTAATAGCGTTAGTGACTGCTACTGCTGCCTTTTCGTTGATGTTCATGAATCCTCACGGTTTGCGCTGTGTAAGTCCTGCACCAAGCTTTTTCCACAGTGTCTGCTAGCGGAAAGGGCCCCAACGGAAGTGGCGCCGCACTGCAACCTAATGCACCGGGCTATTGAAGTAATACGTGCATTCTCCGAGGTCATACTTGAGACACCTTGTTCTGCCAAGGTGATGGCTTTCTGCCTCACCTTCTTGGCTGCAGCGTATCTGTGGTTCACCATGGGCATCATCGGCTTCTGGAGAAACACTGCTTTCCACAAGAAGCTCTACTTGTGGGTTGCTGCTTTTTTGTGACTTGGCTTTGACGAGGGCCGCCCCAAGCCAAAGTACAGTCATCTCGATCGCGAAGTCAACTCTTTCGGAGGCTGTTGCATGCTTAGTGAACACATGTTGGGGCTGTTTGAGTGCTTTGTTCAACATCCATTCCACCGCCCGCCAATTTGACACTGCCGTTGCGCACTTCCGAGCTCGACATTTGCTCGACTTTTGTTGCGAAGCAGTTGACTCTGAGCGCTTCTGATATTGGGTGCCAGTCTGCTATCACGTGGTCCAACTGTCCAGACATGGTGTGCAATCTCCGATGATCGGCCGGCTGTTTGTGTGCGGCTTGTTAATGACAAATTGTTGTTCCTTATTGAACTTGGTCAGGTGGAGTTATGGCCCTTCCCAATGTTCGCTCATTCTGTTGGTGCAGTTGCGTTAAAGACTTCGTCCGCAAAGTGCCGCAGATGGTGTTGGGTTGGATGCCGAAGGACCATGACGCATGCAGCGAATTCCTTTACCGCTTCTGTGTGCGTTTCAACTCTCATCAAATCTTGTTCCGCACCTCGCAGCTGCATGTCGTACTCGATGCACTCCCTTTCAGGATCGTGTGAGCTTCTGGCTTGGACCCATGGTGTGGTTTCGGATCGCAAGCTGCAAACCCCATTCCGTGCGATTCAAATCAAGCCACTGCCATGCACCCCGTGCACTGCGTCGGTCGGGTTTCTTCTTGGGGCACTTAGGGTGGTGGTGGTGGTGGTTTAGATGTTTTGGTTCGAAACGCAGCTGCTCTGTTAGGTACTATGGAGCGACACCGGTGGTGTCCTTGCTCCTGGGTATGAAAGCCACTTGCCAAGGCGGCCCTCCCACTTTGGCATACGAGGTTTACGGTGTATTCCTCGTCGTGCACATGGGCCTCGCCTTGTATGCCATTCATGACGAGGAGATCAAATTCTGGGATTTCTCCAAGGGTCTCATGGCGAGCACACCGGTGCTGCTCCTTTTCACGGCCTTGGAACACATGGACATGGCCACCGATGCCATGCTTCTTGCTTATGAATTCAGAGCGTTGCCCACTGTTTTGCCTTGTCCGACCATTCCAAGAGCAAGCCAGGTTCGTCGGAGCAGCTGCGGCATGCAGCGACAACGTCACCGATGCGTGCCTTAGGCTCATTTACAGACGCAGCCCGCAAGTTTCGTGTAACTAGACCGCTTATCTTAATCGCACCAGCTCTTCTAGAATTTGGTCTTTAGATTGCAGTTGCCGTGACCTGACTTCAGTTATCTAACCACACCGGCCGCACTTGGCTATAGCAAGCATCGACCAGGTTCCTGACGTCATGGCAAGCTGTACCTTTCGTGGGTGGAGGGTTGAAGACCGTGATGGAGCAGCTGACCTTTCCAGGCATACCACGGTTTGGAAAGACGCCAGTTGCCCCCTAAACCCTTAACCCTAAACCCGAAACCCGAAACCTTAAACCCTGAGCCCAGCTTTTGCAAGCTTTGCTGCAGGTCTGGTGTTCTGCGCTTTCGTGCTTGCCGCGTACTTACCGCAGTTTGCGATGGTGTATTCGTTTTGGCTGTGCCCTTTCCTGGTCATCACCATGCTGCTTTTGGTCTTTGCTTTGTCGATCCCGTTCAATGGTTGGCTGGCTGGGGCTTTGGTGCCCGGCCTTCCCCTTGCCTTGGCCATATCCTTCCTCGGAGCAAAGCAATGGCGTGTAGCCGGGTATGAGCTGGAGGACCGCCGAAAAGCGGGTCTTTGGGTGGGCATGTTGGTTTTCGAGGCAGCTCCGGGAGCCAAAGACGAAGACAGAGACATGGTTTTGACATTGTCCCGTGTTCTCTTCGAGAACATGGTGCAGCTTTGGCTCCAGGCGTCCTTCTTCGCCTTCACATTCGATGCCGTCACGAATACAGCGCGCACTAAATTCTTGGTCTCGCTCAGCCTGGGTCTCGTCGCCTCGGCCTCAAAGGTCCCCAGATTTCTTTACCCGCAGATGATGCAATGTCAACGAAGTGAGCGGACCGTAGTGGCCGCAGTGATTGCAGCTTGGTTGATGTTCTCATCGTTGGTCGGTTCCTTGCTCTTCGTGGTGCTGAAGGTGTATTTCGCGTTCACCTGCCCATCGCACGTTTGGAATCTTACCAGCGGCTGCGTGGAGCCGTCTTAGACCCCTAAACCCTAAACCCTAAACCCTAAACCCTAAACCCTAAACCCTAAACCCTAAACCCTAAACCCTAAACCCTAAACCCTTAGAAGGCAGCACTGGACAGAGGACTTGCGACCCGAGTTGCTACCGGAGAAAGTGCACGCTGTTTCTCCCGCTTCCCAGGGCTTTCCGAAGGTCTTCAGAGGGCTATCGCAGGTTTCTATTAGGGAAGAGGGAAGCGAGCCTTGCCAGTTTCTGCAATCGAGCGACCCCCAAGTATAGAAAATGACATGAGATGAGAATCAAATCTACATCCCGAAGCCTTATATGGACCCGGATTGGATTCGCTAGTCCCCAGACCCGAAGATGGGTTGACCCCGACCACAGTGCGAAGGCGGCAGTTTTACTTTAGATCACCCTTCTGCACGCAACAACATATTTTTCAAGACTCAAACATCACACAAGCTAGCATACCATGTGTCTGACCGTTTTGCTTTGGTGCTGAAGCAATCTTCAAGATTCTAAACCTCAGCCAGCCCTGCCCTCTGAATGGGACAGGCCCCAACACAACCCGACCGTGTATATCAGGGTTACTACAAGGGTTCCACAGAGGCCTATGCTTGAGGACACGTGTGAGTGCAATGCTGCAGTAATGGCACGAAGTGCTTCAAACGAAAGTTAGGGCACGTGGATCAGTTCGGAGCCAGCGGGGGGGAGAGCGAGAGCGAGAGGGAGAGAGAGAGAGGGAGAGAGCCAGAAAGAGCTGGTTGACTTGGTAGCTTCATGACATGAGACTGCAAACAGTGTCATGGCTCGGTGGTGTTTCCATCACGTCTGACGAACAAAGCCCAGCACAAGCATACTCTCCCGATCGGGGCCTCAAGAAGCATGCTAGGTACTGCAGAGCATCAGCCCCGGCGGAGGAAGTTTCACAGGAGCCGTTCGGGGAGCCACCTGAATAGACACACCACGGGGCCGCAACATTGCACCATGGGTTCAGCTCTTTGCCGACCCGCGGCTGATGACTCCATTTGCTGCTTGCAATCTACCGTTCATCCATGCCACTTCCCACTCTGGGCAGCCACGAAGTCTGGTGCAGCAAGCTTTGTTCTAAGGTACGGCCCAGGTGATTAGTTAGGCAATCACCATTGTTTTGGCTTACGTTGTCCCAAAGGAGCGAGTCTCTATATTGTGCAACAACCGCAATACAGCCACGAAGGGTTCTGTGCCACAGCAACTGAGGTCAAGGTGTCCGATTTCCTTGAAATGCATGGTCCTCCAGAAGCTCACGACGCCTTGAAAGAGAAGGGCTTGCTACACGAATGGTTCGAGGGCATGTTTGTAATTTTCATCAGTCACCAGTGGTTGAGCTCAGCCCATCCAGACCCACAGGGAGAACAAGTGAGGGTGCTTCAAAGGGCACTCCGAAGTATGATCGATGGATCTTTGCATGTTGCAGAGGATTTGGTGTCCATGTCGGCTGACATGAACTTGTCTTCGAACACGCGGCAGCACATTGCAAGTGGATTCATCTTTTTTGATTGGTTTGCCATCCCACAAATCACCGCACGACAAAGTGGCGTGAACGAGGAAGCGATCAAATCCGATGCGGCTTTGGCTGTCCAGAGCATCCCCGCGTACGTGGAACTGTCAAACTTGTTCTTAGCAGTGGTGCCAGAGTTGACGCACAAAGATACGGCAGCCCTGGTGAACTATGGGACGTGGCTCTCACGAGGGTCCCCTGGTCTGACTTGGCAGGATGTTTGAGCCACTTTCTCACTCTTAACAGTTTAGGGGTTTAGGGTTCAGGGTTTAGGGTTCAAACCCTAAACCCTAAACCTTAAACCCTAAACCCTAAACCCTAGACCCTAAACCCTAAACCCTAAACTCAAAACCCTGAGCCCTGTTCTCTTGGGGAAGCCTGGCCAAGGTGGTGCCGAGCCGAGCTGTGGTGCCGGCTCTTGTCGAACAAGGTGGGGAGCTGTCAAAGTCATGGCCCCCTTGGGGAACCCTACATTATTCCATTACTTTACATACGGTACCTATAAACTTCAAGAACTATTCTGAACCTTACTTGTGGCAAAATCATGGCCCCCTTGGGGCACCCTGTATAATTCCATTTGCTTAAATACGGTACCTTATAAACTAAGGCAACCCAAAGCAACAAAGCCTAGTTTGGAGAGCCACTCCCCTAGGTAGTATTAGGGAGACCCCTTAAAGGGGACCCTTCTTAACCCTACTTTTGGCTTTCTTAAAAGGGACCTTATTGAGAGGGTCTATATCCCCCAGCGTCCCCCTAATCCTAATTCCTACACCCTCAACCCTAAACCCTAAACCCTAAACCCCCTAAACCCTCTAAGCCCTAAGCCCTAAACCCTAAACCCTAATCCCTAAACCCTAAACCTAAACCCTAAACCCTAAACCCTGACCCTAAACCCTAAACCCTAAACCCTAAAACGAAAAGGGGCCAT